AGGTAGAAGTATAAGAAAATCCAGTATCTAAGTGCATGTAATTTAAATTATTTGTGTTTGTTATTTATTGCAGGATAATTTGTTATGCTTCAATAGACCTACTAGCTCTGATCATTTATATCTCATAGTGTCTGAGTCAGAAATTCAGGAGCACCCTGGCTGGGTCGTTTGTCTCAAGGTCTCTCATGAGGTTGCAGTCAAGATGTAGGTTGGGACTGCAGTCATCTGAAGACTTGATTGGGACTTAAGATGCTGCCCCCTAGGTGGTTCAATCACATGGCTGTTACCAGAAGACCTCAGTTCCTTCTGGCTGTTGGCAGGAACTGCCAGTTCCTCAACATGTGGACCTTAGGATTACTTGAATGATCTCCTGATATAACAGCTTGCTTCTCCCAGTGAGAGTGAGCTGAGAGAGAGCAAGGAGGAAGCCACAATGCCTTTTTATGCCCTAATCTTGTACATTATACATTGTCACTACTATCACATCGTCTTCAGTAGAAACAAGTCACTAAGTACAACCCACACTGAAGTGGTGCAGATTCGTCTCTGCTTTTTGAAGGAGAAGTATCAAAGAATTTGTAGAACAGAATTGTTTGTTCATTCATCCATTTGTTCAGCAGCCATTTAAAAACATACTGTCAGACAATGTATTAGAAGCAGTGTATCAATAGTGCATTCAAGTAAAAATAAAACAAGGTCTTTGTCTTTAAAATCACCACTCTTTAAATTCTGCTGTGGGAGGTGTGTATCCCATACCCATGCTTTCCGTTGTATTCTTTTGAAGGTTGTCTTTATTGTCTCGCTGTAGCTGCTGGCATATCTATCCTAGTTAAAATGATAAAGGGATGACTGCTAGGTTAATAGGATCTAGAATTAATACTTTGCTGATTCACTCCTTTAATTCTTACACAGCAACATATGTATATAGTTTTCTTTATTTCTTACCTTAGTAAGAAATATGTAAAAGTCCCAAAGCATTGGAATTGAATAATTGTCACAAGTCGAGAGGAATCATGTTACTTATTATGTGATTAGTACAAGGAGCAAGAGACTAATTCAGCAAAGCAAACATCTCTTCAGAAAGAACTCAGACTGAAGGTTTCTCATTCACTTGAAATACAAATTTATTTCTTATTATTCATCCTCTCTCCTCCCTGTTCTGCCTTTTTTTTTCTTTTTTATACTTTTCTTACTTGGAAATGAGATAACACTGTTGTAGATACTTGACTAGAGCTGGCCTTAGGTGAAATAAAAATAATTAGTATCTGCAGAGAGATTCTATTCTACATTTTATTCATAAGGCATGAGGCACTTTTGAAAATAATAAAAGAAGCTGAGGACAAGAAAGTACAAGAAATTTAAAAGATTATAACAGAGAATACTGAAAGGCTGGAAGTAAAAGTGGATGAAGTTTGCCATCCCATAGAGTGAAAATAAGAAAGAAAAGTTTGCAAAGGATTAATCTAGGTAGGCCAAATACAGAGAAAATAGGAATTTTGAAAAAGGACATCTTTGAGACAAACTGACACAAGTCTTTAAAACAGCCCAATCAGGGCCGTGTAGGAGAAATTTTAAAATCGCCTGCCCCTTAAAAAGTCCTTGTGGCATTATAGAATATCATTTATTAAGAGGATATCCTAAATATTCCAGGGAGAAAAATTGGTTTACTTAACCAAAAAATGAGAAATGGGCAGAATAGGATGCCGTATGCAACATGGGATGTTGGAAAACAATGTCTCTCAGAGTTTGGAAAAAATGTTTTTTTCTTGTGCTATACCTAAAGTGTGAGGGAGAGATGAAAATTCAGGCATGCAAGGACCCCGAGTTTATCTCCTTACATAAAATTTCTGAAACAGTTGTTTGATCTGGTAAAGACAGACACACACGCATGCACATGAGAACATGGGATTCAAGTCAGTGGACTTAACTCAGAAGTACAGTCAAAAGATATCAGAGCCAGGGTCATTAGGCCTTGAAAACAAGTAGACTAAGTTTAGATGAGGAGGTTGGAGGGCTCAGAAGAGAATATCTTTAGGAAGCAATTGGAATCACATTAAAGACAGATGTTTAAGGGGTGCTTGGGTGGCTTAGTCGGTTACGTGTCCAACATAGTTAAGTGTCTGTGATCTCAGCTCAGGTCTTGATCTCAGGGTCGTGAGTTAAAGCCCTGAGTTGGGCTCCATGCTGGGTGTGGAGCTTACTTAAAAAAAACAAAAACAAAAACAGGGGCGCCTGGGTGGCTCAGTCGTTAAGCATCTGCCTTCTGCTCAGGTCATTATCTCAGGGTCCTGGGATCGAGCCCCGCATTGGGCTCTCTGCTCCGCGGGAAGCCTGCTTCTCCCTCTCCCACTCCCCCTGCTTATGTTTCCTCTCTCGCTGTGTCTCTCTCTGTCAAATAAATAAAATCTTAAAAAAAAAATCTTAAAAAACAAAACCAGCCTATTATTCAGAAACAGTGATTTTCAGTGTTTTGTACGCTTTCCAGTTCAGTTCCTTTTCTCTCACTATCTCTTTACAACATTCTGATCAGGCTTTACATCCACCATTCTACCAGCAGTGCCCTTGTCAGGATCTTCAGTATCCTCCATGTTACTAAGTTCAGCGGCCAGTTATAGATCCTCCTCATACTTTAACTCTTAGCAGCATTTGGCACAGTGGATCAGTTCTTCTGTCTGAGGTACTTTCTTCATTTGGCATCCACACCCCTGGATTTTCCTTTTCTCTCATTGGCCTCTGTCAATTTTTCTGATATTCCTTTTTTCCTAAAGGCCTCTTCATGTTGGATCATCTCAGGACTCTTTTTTCCTTCTCCAAGTACACTTAGATGTCCTGTCCAAGTTCACGCCTTTTTGAGTATTATTTGTCTACTGGTAACTCCCAAATTATACTGGCAGCTCAACATTCTTTAGTTAACTCCAGGCTCCTATTTAACATTTCTACTTGAATGTCTGATAGATGCCTCAAATTTAACACATCTAAAACTAAACTGAAGATATTTTCTCCAAACCCGCTGCTTCCACAAATTTTCCTACTTCAGTTAATGGTAACTCTTATATAAGTTTTTAGTTCCTCAGGCTATAAAACTTAATCAACCTTGACTCCTTACCGTTTTTTATAACCTGTATCAGAAGATTTTGTTGACACTACTTTCACAATTTATTCAGAATCTGGCCATTTCTCACCACCTCTGTTTTTACCCTGGTGTAAACTACTGTCATCTCTTGGCAGTATGATTTCGATAGCTCTGCAACCAGGCTCCTTGCCTTTGGCCTTGTTCCCCTTCAGTCTATTGAAAACAGTAGCCAGAGTGTTCCTTCCTCCTAAAACAGAAGTTAGGTAGTATCTATTTTGCATTCAGAACTCTCTAGTGGTTTTCCAGCTCACTCAGAATAAAACCTACATTTCTTGCATTATCCTATAAGGGCCTATGTGATCTCTTCCACCTCACCCTCCACCTACCCACCCTAATTAATATTCTCACCTCATCTGTTTTTTTCCTCTCTTGTTCATTCCATCCCAGACTTCGTCCTGTGATCACTTCTGGAAGTTCTCACCTCAGGAACTTCATTTTCTTCTGCCTGAGATGTTCTTTCCATAGATTTTCACATGGCTCTCTCCCTCACAAGGTGTTTGCTCAGATGATCCCTTCTCAGTGAGGTTTCCCCTAACCACCCTGTTTCTCATTGTACACCCTCAGCAACTCCTCAGACTCTTTTATTTTGCTCTACAGTATGTTTTGTCTAACATACATTTATTTACTTCTTGTTTTGTTTAGTGTCTGTAGCACATACTGTAGTTATAGGAGGGGAGGAATATTTGTCCACTTTGTTCGTTACCATATCCTCAGCCCTGGAAATAATGCCTGGAACATTAGTGAAAAAAGCTTTAGTCTAAAGAAAAGACTTGAGGTAAAATACTCGTGAACTTAAATCCGTGGTCATGCTTTACAATTGCCGTGTACAGTACTGTGAATGTGTGAAGATTCAAGTTATTTCAGATCATTTTTCTTAGTATTAAAACAGTATTAATTAGAGCTTATGTTTTTGCCAGTGTGGGAAGTTTTTTGTTTTGTTTTGTTTTTGCTATTATTTACCCTTTAGTTGTTGCTAACAGTCTGACTTGGTTTAGATATATTAGAGGATCACAATCTGTTGCTGAATTTATAATTTATATTGGAGAATGTTTGTGTGTACTCTTATGTATGTGAACATATAGTTATCTGTGGCTAGAGAGATAACATACACGGTTAAGCTCATTTGCAGAACTATCATCTTCTAATAAGTGTTAGGCAATTAGCAGTAGCTCCATTGTTTAAGTAAATAAGATGTTTAAATAGAAGTGTAAGCCCTTACCACACTTTTAAGAAAAGCACAGGTTGCAACTTTTGAAATAGTAAATGTATTAATTTCAAAACAAAAGAAGGTCTTTTTATATTTGTTACATGATAATAAAATACTTAGTTTTTCTAATTTAAAATAGGTTCTTATTTGGGATTAAAATATCTGAATGACAAATTGACTGTAAAGAATATCATTATTTACACACATTGATTTTTAATTGTTATAAACCATTATACATTTTAAAAATAAAGTCTGTACTCTTAGGGTTAATTTCTTTTAACAGTGCCAGGGTTAAAGGAACTCTACTGCTTGGTGGAGAAGCAAAGAGAGCATAGTGTAGTAGACTCCCAGATATTTTGGTTACATACCTCAGTAAACACTTCTTCCAATATATTTGCTTATTTACTTTTAAATTATATGTGTCTTGTTATCATTGTCAGTCTTAAGGATGATAAATACTTAAGTTTTTCAAGAGGAGATGTAACTTTTCAAATAGCCATCTTGATAGTTGTAAGGTTTTTTGATGGACTTGTCAAATCAGATTGTATTTTTCTGATACTACAGGGCTAACGAAGAGCTTCATTAGGAGGAGTATTAGTTCTGCCATTTTTGTTTTGTGTTTTGCATTATTATTTTGTTTAATCCATGGTTTCTTTGTAGGAATCTTCTGCAGCTTATTCATTGTGTGAGTAAAAACTAAATCACATCCATAATTGCACTGAACTGGGCACACGAAAACTGCCATATATGTCACAGTATACTGAAAAAGAGCCAGCAGGTAAGCAAAGCGTCTTTGTCAGTTCCTCTACATTGAGGACTTTGTATTTTTCTCTCTAGATACCTTGTATACTGTATATGACTTGGGATCATGGTCTTATTTAAGGCCATTTTTGATCAATATATTGAATATTTGTAAAGCTTAATTTCTAATTTTTGATATGAAAATAAGTATAAATAAAAATTCTTATTTTCTTTCCGTACCCCCTTGGCTGCTATTGTGCTTTCCATTTTGGAGACTTTTCCTTTGGAGGAGTTGTTAAGGGTACTGGTTCTGGAGTCATACTATTCAATTACTGGACAGTTACTAAATACTGAATTTTAACTTTAATTTTTTTGATCTTTAAAATGAAGTACAGTATCTACCTTATAAGTTTGTTGAGGGGATTAAAAAACATAATGTAAAACTTGATAACTGCTTGTTAGAAATACATACATGTTTTTCATTTGTGCTTGGAAGCAATTTTATTTCTTATTTTAATGCAATAAAACAAAAATATGTAATTGTTCCATTGATTGTTTCATATACTGTGAGAAGATATTTAGTTCTTGTATAATATATGTAAAATCTAATTGACTAAACAAATTTAAACTTTTTATATATGGCGTGGTAATGTTCTTAGTTAAAGATGCTACTGTTTACTACTATATATCCTTTAGCCATCAGAACTTAGTATTAAAGTTGTTCAAATGTTGATGGCTTTTGGTACCATAGTGTATACCATTGGTAGTTTTGGAAGGTGAGGTAGCATGTCTTTGACTTGGCTCATTGCTGTTTTCTTTTGGAGAATTTTCTCTGACCCTAATATTTGGGATATGTTTTATTATGGTCCAGTTGGTTCTTTATGATAGTACAGATGTCAGTTAAAGAAGTTAGCTATTACCTTGGATAGGAATGCATTCACTCTTAATGTAATTGAAACCATCATTTCATGTGCTAGTAATTCAACAAATAAGTATTAGCAGTTACACATAAGGTACTTTACTTAGATAATTTGGAGGATCATTGTCCAATCCTTAATGAGCTTTTGCAATATGGTGTATGAATTTGGCATATGAAAAATTGTTTTTAGTAGGTTACATCATAAAAATCTAAAATACCTTAAAGGTACCAAACTTTAAAAGCTATTTTTGGGGGTAAAGAGGCACATAACTCTCATAGTATTTCATGTTTACTTTTCAAGTATGTTTTACAGTATTAGTAAGGTGTACTCGATGTTCAGTAGCACATGATCTGGCAAGTAATAGCATATATGTTGAAATATTACCCTACTGGTCACCACAATAAAAGTCATTGTATGCCTCTCTTATTTTTAACTCTGTTCTTCAGCAATGGATCAAGAATCCAGCAAGGCTGCCTGGCCCAAACCAGCAGGAGGATATCAGACAATCACAGGCAGGAGATACGGAAGAAGACATGCATATGTCAGTTTTAAACCATGTATGACCAGGCATGAAAGAAGTTTAGGTCGGGCTGGTGATGACTATGAAGTGTTGGAACTAGATGATGTTCCAAAGGAAAATTCCTCAGGTGTGCAACATGGGATTATATAAGAGCTATTAATAAGCACGTAGGAATTGATCTTGTAATATTTGAAATTATGTGTGGGTTTTATGTATCTATAAATACAAATGTACATTTCCTATCAAGAAATTCTATTTTGATATTTTAATTGAATTTAATATGAATACTATATACATTTAAACATAGAAGAAAATAGAATACAGCCAATTATTAAAATATAACTACATTGCCATGGCAGTGATTACCTTATCACATCCTTCAGCCAGTGGAGATCTTCATCTTTCAGTCAAAAAACTTTTTAATGTGAACTGAATATATTTTTCTTGCATATTATGTTTAATAGCTTTTTTGTTTTAATTGTATCTCCAAATAATTTAGCTTGGCTAATTTGATTTTTTAAAATCATTTTATGAAATACATATGTCAAGTAATAGTTATTTAAGTAAAATTTCTTAATTATTCAGTGGTTTGGGAAAGTATTTGCAGATATCCCTGTACTATAATTACACATCTTGGGCTAGAGTGTGGTCGTCTTCTTATCCTGAGCAAATTTGATAATTCTAGATTATTTTTACTGTCATTTATAAACAAGAGTCTAAATTATTAGCTAATAAGTTCATTCTGTTAAGCCTTTCTGTGATATGACAAGACTGCTCTTTAGTTATTTATAATTTATAAATTTTTGTCCCAACAAAACAAGATATCTTCAGACAGAACTCAAATATCTTCATTTTTTTATTATTACATTAGTGGTAATAAAAGGTAGTCAAGCTTAAAGTGATTTATAGAATAGATATGATTTTATTCTTGTCTCAAGATTATGACAAACTATGGCAAAGAGATTAAACTTGTTGACTTTTTTTGTTGTTTTGTAGTCATAGCCATAGCATATCTAAAGTTAACTCATTATTACAGATGTATTATAAAAAATCCATTTTGGGGATAGAAATCTAATATTTTATATCTGTAGACTGAGATATAATCTTCTGAATTGACATCAAACACAATAAAGTTTCATTTCTGTTAGATCTGTAACCTGTTCTTTTATCTCTCAAAAGTACTATTGAAGTTTTTTTACCTGCCCATAATAAAAGAAGTTAAGTTTGAATTGTGCACCCTAACAACTGGGAGGGCAGATTTGTTACCCTACAACTTGACTTATGCCTCTCCTGTTAAATGTCTTTTACAGAATGTTTTAGGTATCAGGATTTCGGTGAAAAACCTCCAAAAAACATCTGAGGGAGAGGATATTAAGGGGCTATACAATGGCTTAAATGAACTCATAGGGTTACCAGTGTGCCCTCTTGGTTAAGGGAGGGAGCATAGTGGTACCTGCCAGAGGAATTCACTCGTATTCAAGTGCATAATAATTGGCATAATTTCTACTTAAGTAGTCGTTACTAAATAAAATATGTCTCCAAATGTGTTTTCTTTGTTCTCTGTGAAGGTTCCAGTCCATCGGATCAAATTCATTCTTCTTTACCCAACGACACTTTATTTGAAAAAAGTGAAACAGAAATTCCCATTTGTGATACAACATTGAATCAAACCATTGAGAGCAGTCCATCCTTTGCTGCAGTACATCATAGTGAGGAGGGCAGGGAGACTTTAGGTAGCAGTACAGATCTTCATAATCACTGTGAGGGAGAATATACTACAGAAGCTTGCAATGCTTCAAGTGTACAAAATGGAATTTCATTGGTTCAGACTGACTCTTACGATCCAGATGGCACACATGGAGAGGCCAATGACCGTCTTCAGCTTTCTGCAGAAGTTGTGGAAGGTGGTGGATATCAGGAAGCATTGGGCAATACAATACTTGAATTGGCAAATGGAGAGGTAGAGGCATACACTGGTCTTTCACCACCAGTTCCCTCTTTCAACTGTGAAATAAGGGATGAATTTGAAGAGTTAGATTCAGCACCTTTAGTCAAAAGTTCTACTGGTGTTACTGAGTTTGTCAATCAGAACAATCAGGAATTTCAGAGGTCCTCTTCTGAAGATGAAGTTGTTAGAAAGAAACAACAAAATGATCCTAGCCAGGAGAGTCAGGGAGAAAATGCGGCTGAAGATGCAGTGTGCGCTCCCGGGCATATCTGCAGTGAACAAAATACTAGTGATAAGGCCAAGAACCAGGGAAATTTTCCTGAACAGGTAGTGAGGCCCAAAGTTAGAAAACTGATAAGTTCAAGCCAGGTGGACCAAGAAACAGGTTTTAATAGGCATGAGGCTAAGCAAAGAAGTGTTCAGAGATGGAGGGAGGCTTTGGAAGTTGAAGAAAATGGCTCAGATGACCTCTTAATAAAATGTGATGACTACGATGGAGAACATGACTGCATGTTCTTGGATCCACCTTACTCGAGAGTTACGCACAGGGAAGCAGAACATAACCAAATAACAGCGGAAAGTGGAGCCACAGCAGGAAGGCAAGAAGTGGTGGATACCACCTTTTGGAATGGCTGTGGAGATTATTACCAGCTGTATGACAAGGATGAAGATAGGTACGATTTCGTGCTTTGTCAGATTGTATAGTAAGCAGAGTGGTTTATCTCGAGTAACCATGAGGTCTGATGGATGTGCATGGTCAGGGAACTGGGTATTTTGACTGGCCAAATATTCTAAGTTCCTGAGTGCTAACCACACTTGCAAACTACTGCTTATTTACAGAAACTTTCTTTGGGGCATTTCATGAGTTTATAGAAATTGTAAGTTCAGATAATGGTTATTAGTTATTACAGAAGGATAGAGATACTGATTATTTCAGTTCATAGTATTTCATTTAATAAAATGCAAGGTAAGCATTTATCATATTTTTAAAAAAATTCTATGTTAATCCATCCGGGGCTTAAAAAGTGATTCAGATTATAGAAAATTTTGATAATGTTTTATTAACTTTGCCAGTATTTATTAATGTCACCTGTTTCTCTGTTCTTCTTTTTGCTCTTTTTATCCTTAGGTTTATTTTTTACCTATTTTTATGTAGCATTTGATTTTTGGTCACAGCTCAGTGTGGTATATATTATTATTTCCCCTATTTGTAGACCTAGAAACTGAAGTACAGGCGAGTTAACTTCCCAGAGTAACAAAGCTAGTAAATTTTGGATCTGGAATTTGCATTTCTACTTACTGCCCAATCCAAATGGATATTCTCAAAAAAACATACAACTTTTCTCTTCCTTCCTTCCTTCCTTCCTTCCTTTCTTTTTCTTTCTTTCTTTCTTTCTTTCTTTCTTTCTTTTTTAAAGAGGGAGAGAGAGAGAGAGACAGAGCATTAGCAGGGTGAGGGGGGTGGGGGTGGGGAAGGGCAGAAGGACAGGGGGAAAGAATCTTAAGCAGGCTTCATGCCCAGCGCAGAGCCAGACTTGGGGCTTAAACTTACAACCCTGAGATCATGACCTGAACCAAATTCAAGAGTCAGACGTTCAACCGACTGAGCCACCCAGGTGCCTCACAGCTTTTCTTAGAATAAGCATTCTGGTTCTGGTTCCTTGTATATAGAATTCTCCCCCACCCCCAAACTGTAAGACCATAGAAAGAAGAGAGAAATGGAAAATTTCTTTTGTTCAACTTCTGACTTTTCATTACCCCAGAGCCCAGGCTTTCACATGTCCTTTTGAGCTAGTTGAAGCCAACCTTGCTCAGTTACAGTACAGTTTCAAGATCTTACTAACTTGTAGAAATAAGTTACTTTTTTTTTAACTCGAAAGTACTACAAAGGAAGAAATTTTTTCTTTTAAATATGAATACATTTTATATATTTTATTTCATGTCATAAAATTAATAAAATATATTGGGTTTTTTTGGACATACGGATAATGCTTCTATAATACAATGTAAGTAATTTTTAGAAACAGTTGAAATATAATTTCTACTACTATCTCGAAGTTTGTAAACTTCAAGGGTTAGCAGACAGTATTTATATGACCTACTGTTTTTTAAGCTTAAGGGTAAAATTAGTTAAGAACCTTTGCCTAACTTATTTCTATTTTTCCAGTTTAGTTTCACAATCTTTTATGCAAAATCCACAGAGTTCTTAAAATGGAAATTGACAGCAAAACCGGAATTGATGTTAACTTACTTGATGCAGATCTGGATCTGAACTAACATGAGGCCTTTTTCTGAAGCATTCCTAACATTTTGCTGTAGAAATATGAAAGTGTTCAATTACTGAGTTTTTGGGTTGGGTTGGAGCCCACTGGGAATTGTTAAGTAGTATTTCTAAATCTCAGGGGAAAAAATCTGAATTTCAAAACATACTCAGCCCTAAGGTTTTTGGATTGGATTGTGAAACTTTACTATACCTCTAGGTTACTATTAAAAAATAATAATAACATCAACTTATCATCTTAGATAACTTGTCTTTTTGAAAGTATAAGAGGGTTGCATTTTTACCCCAGTTACATTTTTGCTTTCTTGAAGAAAATAATTTAAGTTGGCCATGCCTTCATCTTTGGAGACACACTAATCAAAAATAAAAACCTCTTACTTTTTTTCTCCTTGCTTTTTATAGTCAGGCCTAATGTCATCTAATAAAATTGATGAAACTTTTGCTTTGTTTATCAACCTCAAAGGTAGTTTTCTTGGTTTAAATTGATTTTTGTGTGTGTGTCATTAGTATTAGTGTTTTATTTGCCTCGAATGACTATAGACTTCGAATGATTATAGGGTGTTGTCTTAGTATGCTTAATTATAATTTGTTTCCTTAAGTGATGTGTCAGTATTCTAAATAATGATAGATTTTTTTACAAATAGAATATACAGAGGAAGAAAAGACAGTTAATAGAAACTTCTTTTTCTTTCACTTTTTAATAATATATTGATTTATAGAACCTGAAGTTGGGTTGTGCTTAAAAGATGGAACTAATTTTGGAGCAGTCTTTAAGACACATTGAAATGCCAGAAACACTTGGGGTTTTTTGTTTGTTTGTTTAAGACTACCATCACAGAATAAGTTCTCAAGGATAATGGTTTTACCTAGGATTCCACTCACTTTTGCCATCTGTAAGCCTTGAGATAGGTTTAGGACCAGATTGCAATAGTCTGGACAGATTGTGGAGTATTTGTATTTCTATGCTGTTTCCAGTTCCTCTGCCCTCAACTGCCTGCAAAGGATCACAGTTGCCAGAATTCTTTTAATATGCTGTCAGATAAAGGGTGAAATTTAATAACCATACATTCCTACTTAGTTTCGTTTTGCCACTTGTTCATCTACTTGATGTTTTGCTATAGTCTTGTTGAGTTCTGATAAAAGCAGACTGGGGAAATGGGGAAACACAGTGACTATACAATAAGTGTCTTGAGAAAGTATAAATACCCTTTGCTTTGAATTTTTGAGTTTGCTTTATAAAACCTAAAGATGCTGTACTTGAAAATTTTTCTTGTCATGTTTATAATAGCTACAAACAGAACCCTCTTATCCAGAACTTAACTAAAATCATTTTTAGTTATAGGAATTTTGGCCACTTTTTAAAAATATAGTTAAAAAAATACATAGTTCATATATTCTTTAAAAGTGAAAAGTATTTGAATGAATGCATGATCTATTTCCTCCCTGAAAACTTTTAAGTGATCACTTAATCATATCTGAAACATTACACTCTATGGAATAAGCATCACAGCTGGTAGAATTGCTCTGAGCTGTTTGACAGGAACTGAACACCACCTAAATTAGAGTTGCGAGGGGAATTTTAATAGGCAGTATGTAATTACCAGACTTGGAATTAGACCAAAGAGCTAAGGTTAACGTCCTGCTCTTTTGAAATATACCCTGAGAATTTTAATTGTTTCATGACAAGATCTTGAGTTTAAAAGAACCTTTTAACCATGCCGGCACATTTTAACCTTGGGTCTAAGTGAAGGAAGAGGCATGCCAACCACTGACCATTTCTTAGAGCAGTTGAGGTTTCAGAGTTTTTCTGTCCCTAAGCCTTGACATTGCTTAAAATGTTAAAACAAAAACAAAAACACCTTACCTAAGATAAAAATGTCGGGACAGCGTTTTTGTTGTTGATGATGTTGGGAAAATAAAAGGAATATCAGCTATTTAGTTGATTTCAGTTTGTTATATTCAAAAAGGATTTATTGAAATCTTCCTAGGTATCAGACTTTATGCCAGGTACACTGTAAATGCAAATAATGATCCCTGTTCACTTGGTGTTCAGTAGCCTTATGAGGAAGATAAAACAAAGGTAATTATCATGAGACTAAATTAAGCTCTTTGCAGAAGGAGTTTCTCTGATATCCCTGTGTCCCAACAAATAAAGCATCTATGAGCAGCCAGCAAAGATCCTAAAGCATATGCTGTAACATTTTAGCAAACCTTTTAATATTATTTCCAAGTTCGTAAAAGTTTAGAAGGAGTAGATTAGGGATAAAGAGCTTTGTTCCTCAGGCATGTTAGGGAGTTACAGATGACAATATTCTGATATTTAGGGAAAAGACTGGAAAGTTGTAAAACGCAGGCACAATTCAGAACCATCTGGGCCTTATTTACTAAATTAAGCAGCCTTATAGATTTGGGCAACTACCATTTGTATCAGTGTATTACAACATAGTTCATTGTTACCGGTAAAATGCCCCAGACTGCTTAGATTATGTTCAGTGTACTGTCTGAAGATGTTATATCTTAATATAGTTTCCATCCAGAGTATTTTCAGTAAAATTCGGAAAGTGTTTTTGATCCTCTGCTGGTCAGATAACAAAATTATCCAAAAATTTCACTTTTCTTGAGGCTCCTCTATAGTTGAGTTTTTATGAATGTAATAAATGCCAGGGAAGACTAACAAACCAGTTCTTTGGGGAATTTAAGGAGTAAGATTGCTAATGGATGCTTATACTTCTGTATCTTATTTCTATCTAAGATTCGTACTACACAAATTATCTTATTTGTCTAGAAATCACACGTAATTTAATTCTGTATGTGAAAAAAGTGTTTTTGGTTCACATTTGAATGTGTAAAATGTAACATTCAAGTTACAGTTGTCTGCTTTTGAATATAGCTCTAAATGCTAATGGGAGACGATACTAATGGGGCACCTGGGTGGCTCAGTCGTTAAGCGTCTGCCTTCGGCTCAGGTCATGATCCCGGGGTCCTAGGATCGAGCCCCGCGTCGGGCTCCCTGCTCTGCGGGAAGCCTGCTTCTCCCTCTCCCACTCCCCCTGCTTGTGTTCCCTCTCTCGCTGTGTCTCTCTCTGTCAAATAAATAAAATCTTAAAAAAAAAAACAAACATGAAAATCAAAGTGGTACTTAGGTTTTATTTTGAGAATTTAAAATGTTTAACTCAAATATTTGCTTTTATATTCAAGTACAAATGGGTCCTCACTATTCCACAATTGTTTTGTGTCCTATTTGTTCTGTTGCTTATTCTACTTGAAAAGTTATTTTTAAATCTTTTCTCTCTCTGCTTTCAGTTCTATACACTCCCGTCACTCTTAGTAAATAACTTTGTTTCTTGCTTTCCTGGAGATAGTAAAATAATTAAATCTGAACTTTCTTGTTTTCCTTTTCTCCATATTGCAACATGTTAGTATCCTTTCCTATTTTGAATTTTTTTCTTCAGTGAAGAGAGGTGACTAGTCTCATTCTGTGTCTATAGTCATATCTGACACCTGACTTTATTATTCTTCGACCAAAGTTGCTTCCCTCCACCTCATTCTGTAATTTTTCTAAATCCTGAGGGGAAACCTTCACTTGATCTTGCTTTTCCTTTAACCACTTGCCTGTTTGTTTTCTCTTCCACCTGAATTTTCAGAATAAATATTCCATACCCACTGTTTCTATACCACCACTCTGCACTTTTAAATGCCTTGAAATCTAACTCCCGGTATTATTTCTATATTCTCTGATGTGAACAGTGACCTCTTCTTTCTCACATCCAGTTGACTTTTCTTGGTACTTTTTTTTTTTTTTTTTTAACTTTAGTGCTACTGTTGAGCAGTTTGTTCACCCTTTCCTGTTCTGTGATTTCTCTTCCATTGACCTATGTTTGGTTTTTCTTTGCTATGTCTTCTCTGAACCTCAGGGGTCTGCAAACTTTTTTGAAAGGGTGACCAGATAGTAAATATTTTAGGCTTTGTGGACCAAAAGGCAAAATTAAGGATATTATATAGGTACTTATATAACCATTTGAAAATGCAAAAAAACCCAAAACAAACAAACAAAAAACAAAAGACATTCTTAGCTTCCAGGCCATTAAAAAACAGACAAGTGGCCAGATTTGGCTAATGGGTCAGGACATAGTTTGCTGACTCCTGGTATAAAGAGAGACTAAGACTAAAGCAGATTGGGTGACCAGGAGGCTGATCTTGACATTCAGTAAGACAAACCAAGAGTTCAGAGTAGATTTTCTTCATTAGAGAAAAGAGGAAAATGGTGGTGTGCTGGTTGGAAATCCAGTTGAAATATCTCAGCAGGCAGCTTATATAATAAAGTATCACCTTTACTAAATGTTTACCATCTTCCAAAAATTGTTCTAAACATTTTATCTACAGTATTCACTTAAACATCTCCATAAACCTGAAAAGGAAATACAGTATTTGAGTAAAAAAAAAAAAAAAAGTTGTTAAAAAAAAGATTTGCCAACAGTTACTGATGGCTTATTATTTACCAGGCACTGTTAAAATGTTTTGTAGGTATTAATTCATTTACTTACATGAACTCAATGAGTTATTAGATACTGTTACTAAATTCACCTGATGTGTGAGGTGATAAAGGCACAGAAAGGTTAACTAACTTTTTCACAACTAATAAGTGGTGGATTCAAATCCAAGCAGACGGACTCCAGAACCTGTGTTCTCAACTACTGTACCTTAAGACACAGCATTAATGTATGACTGCAGCAAAAATTGTGAGGGCAGTAGGCAAATGTCTTAATTTTGTGAAATACTGCTTTAGTAAAAAAGTGAAGGATTTGGAGTAATATTATATATGGACTATTTGATATAAATTGAAGCAAAAGTGATATTTAAAGTGCATCTTTTAAGTGGGATGGAATGAGGTTAAATTTAGGGATACCAACTAATAATTGACTGTCTAGGTCTAGGTTTGGAGAAAAATACTGGAGCCAGGGTTTTTAGGAGAAATGGAGAAAAAGACATTTTACAGAAAGAATGGAAAGTAAAAAGGACTTAAACATAGGAGTTTGTGAGGCATCAAATATATGTGATTTTCGGCTTGAGAGCAGGGAAATACTGTTAGCAGATAGAAAATCAAGAAGAGACTTATCTGTCAGATAAGTTTTGTTTTATAAAAAGGAGGGTGAAAATCTAAAACTACCTGGAGGGCTAGGTGGTCAGGGCTAGGGATATATATTTAAAAGTTACCTACTTAGGGGTGAGGATTATATATAATGAGTAATAACGATACAGGGCAGGGATCTGCAGATTTTTTTCCTAAACGGCCAGATAGTATATATTTTAGATTTTGCTGAGAGGCAGAATTAAAAATAAACTTGTAAAGAAAAGAAAAAACACATTTTTAATCCAGAGACCATAAGAAAAAGAGGTAGAGGGGCCAAAATTGGCCGAAAGCCTGAATTTACCAATCTGTGACGTAGGCTTTATATTGACTGTTGATCATAGGCATTCTTTTTATATTAAAATTTGGAAATAGTCCATCAATTATTTCATTAAGTTAAAAAAAATTCAGGTTTTTAGGTATTGTTTTTCTGGACAGGATCATAAAATGTTTAAAATATGAGGTTTTCTTTTAAATAAGTAAAGTTGCCACAAATTAATAAAGCTTAGCCTAATTGTGAATGACATACCAAAATTGGAGCTGGTAATATAGCTTTAAATTTGAGAGGCTTCCTAGTCAAGGAAACTTAGTTCAAGAAGTCCTTTAAGACTATTTGCTGTTAGATTTTTACACTGGCACAAATCTAGAAATGATTTACTTGATCTTAGATTATTTTTGGGGTTACAGAAAATTTTGCAAAATAAAAGCAATTAGGGTCTATCCAACTGAAGGAACACCTTTTACTTGCTCTACCAGAGCTATATAGCATTCGCTTCTCTAGAATGTTTGTGCCCTGCTGCCCATCATTTACTAAAGATTGGAAGTTGATTTTATTTTTTTACTTCTAACTTCTCAGAGCTTACATTAGTGTTCCTCTTCCTTAATAGCATCTTGATCTCTTGGGTTCATCTGCCTATAGAAGGAGGAACTCATTAACTAGTTAATATATCATTAATAATATAACCATTAGTAATATATCATCATAAAGAAAAGTTATTTCTTACTAATTATCATTTTCAGAAACAAACAAATTTATTATTATTTTTTGTTTTTGTTTTTCAACAATCAAGGCACAAAGGGAAATCTTTAAGGGGATTCTTGACTAGAATGGTTGGGATTGTTGGAAGGGGCATTTAAGATTTATTTTCACCATTAATATGTACAAGATAACTGAACTTTAAAGAGTAGTTAAATGTAACCAAATTAACCAAAGTTAAATATAACCAAAAGTCATTTTCTGAGGTTTTTCATTAACCCTTTTATCATACCTTTGGTTCCTTATCTACATATTCTCTTGCATTGAAATTTATTTTGTGTTCACAGTCCTACCAAAGGACTTCAGTAAAGATTAGTCAGTGCAGCTTTTTATGAATTTGAATCTCCTTTCATTTTAAAGTCTTTGGTAAGAAAAGGAAGGAAAGTAATGGTTAAGCTTTTAAAACATGGTTAACAGTGGAAATTTATTCATAGAGGATATGTCCCCAGTTGTCAGTATGTAATTAGAAAGTTGTTTCAGGGTGGCTCAGTCGTTAAGCATCTGCCTTCGGCTCAGGTCACGTTCCTGGTCCTGGGATGAAGCCCTGCATCGGGCTCCCTGCTCCGAGCCCGGCGGGAAGCCTGCTTCTCCCTCCCCCACTCCCCCTGCTTATGTTCTCTCTCTTGCAGTGTCTCTCTCTGTCAAATAAATAAAAATCTTTAAAAAAAAAAATTGTTTTAGTTGGGTCAGATGAGTGATCTATTATTTATTTCAGAAAGCATTTATGATTACCAAATTATATTTAAAATTTTATTTAGAAATACCTGGTTTAAAAACTAAAGAACCTGTATCTAAGCACCATTGAATTACTTACTTTATTTTTTTTAAAGATTTTTTATTTATTTATTTGAGAGAGAGAATGAGAGAGAGAGAGCATGAGAGGGGGGAGGGTCAGAGGGAGAAGCAGACTCCCCGCTGAGCAGGGAGCCCGATGCGGGACTCGATCCCGGAACTCCAGGATCATGACCCGAGCCGAAGGCAGTCGCCTAACCAACTGAGCCACCCAGGTGCCTAGAATTACTTACTTTAGTGAAGAAAATAATAAATTGATATTCTGCAACTTGCCATATGCTTTATTCATCTGAAAAAGTTACATTTTGCTGAATGTATTTATTTCTATATATACTTTTAAAATATTTTTTTTAAATTGACTTGGCACCTGATGAAGCATGTGTGGCATCAGTCGTCCACTGTATACTCTGATGCCTCCAAATGACAAATGCACAAATAGTGACAGTTACTGTATTTCTATTCTGAATTTGCAGTTCAGAATGCAGTGATGGAGAATGGTCTGCCTCTTTGCCTCATCGGTTTTCTGGTACAGAAAAAGATCAGTCGTCAAGTGATGAAAGCTGGGAAACTTTGCCAGGAAAAGATGAGAATGAACCTGAACTACAGAGTGATAGCAGTGGTCCTGAAGAAGAAAACCAAGAATTGTCTCTACAGGAAGGGTATGTTTAACAGTGAGATTTATTATTTTTGTGTGTATTGTCCGAGAATGGTATCCATGACATTCAGTTGTTGGGTATGCTGTTAACTGCATGTACAAGCCCTGTGTAGGACCATTAATCCTACTGATCTTTTTTTTCATTATGCTTTTGGTATTTTGCAAAGAACAATTAGATTGAAAATTCTAGTAATTTCATTATCTTCTCTTGAGATACAGTATATATTTCCACTTTGCGTTAAAGAACACTTGGGCATTTAAAAGATTGTTTTGGTTGAGTTAGGTGTGAGTGAATTAGAGCTGCTTTTGCTCTACATTGGAGGCGATGGCAGGGGAAGGACAGCCGCAAGAGGGAACTCAGTGATTTAAACACAGAAATGGAGAAAGTTACAGAAGTTGAAGTCTTAGTATTTCTGTCTAATTGCATCCGATGATACCTCTGAAATCAGTGATTGCTGGTAAACGCCTTTGTCTTTTCCTAACTTTCATGGGAATGCTCTAGTTCCAGGCGTTGTCAGACTTATATTGTGAAGGGCTGGATAGTAAATATTTTCAGCTTTGTGTGCCAGTCTCTATTGCAGCTACTCACCTCCCATGTTGTGGTGTAAAAGTAGCCATAGACAATATGTAAATGAACGGGTGTGGCTGTCTTCCAACAAAATTTTATTTATAAAAACAGGTGGCGGGCTGGAAATAACCCATGGGCATGGTTTATAACCCTTGCTCTAATATTTCCCAAGTAAGAATGATTCTGGCTTTTAGGTTGATTTACGCGCGCACGCACACACACACACACACACACACACAATTTTCTTTTCTAAACACACTAGGGAAATATCCCCATTATTATTTTATGGGTTTCTAGCAAGAATGTTTGTCAAATTTTATTAAAGTGTTTTTAGCATCAGTGGAAATGATCATAGTGATTTTTCACCTTTGACCTAATGATCATGAGGAATTATTTTGTTACTAGATTTCCTAATAGTTACCCTGTCTTCTTGAAATAAACAAACATGATCCCAGAGTCATAGTTTGTTGTTTCAGTGAGCTGCTGGATTCTGTTTGCTAATATTTGACATAGGATTTTATTTTTTTTATTTATTTTTTATTGACATAGGATTTTTATGTTGAGAGGCACAAGTGCGATTGTCTCTTTTTTTGGTCTGGGTAAGTGTGATACTTGCTTTGCTAAAACAATGTGTATGCTTTTCTTTAGCCCTTTGATGTTTAGCTTATTTATTCCTTTAAAGGTTGTTTAAATATTTTACTTAAATAGCTTATTCTTTTAAAGATCGTCAGTGTTTTCTTATGAAACCTAGGTTTGTGTTTTATTGTGAGGTAGTATCTGCTAATTTAAATGTTTTTTTCTGATAATTGGTTCTGATTTTTAGTCTTTCATGGAATCTATTTTGGTAGATATATTTTCATAACTTTCAGCTTGGACTAACATTAAAATTTGTACTTCTCAAAAGGTATAAATTTCCAACTTGAGATGAATTCCATAAGGAATAAAATATATTAGAAAATCTGTAAAGAAAGAAATTTACAAACAATTGTTTTGACAGTGATTGAAAATGGTGGTTTTTTTCTCTTCTGATTTTATGTTTGATCTTCTTGAATCACTATTACATAGTTTACTAAGTATTATTAAATTTTTCATATGTAATTTGTGATACTAATTATTCATTCAACAAATATTTATTGAGCATTTAATCAGTACCAAGCGTTGTGCTGGATCCTGGAATTAAATGAGCAAGACAAACTAAGATTCCAGCTTGAAGCTTACATTGTGGTGGGAGAGGCAAGTATTAAGCAAAATACAAACTTGAATTATAAACTGTGATGATTACTGTGAAGGAAGGGAAACACTCATATGATAGAAAGTAACTGGTAGGGACCTACATTAATTAGAGTGGCCAGGGAGTACTCTCAGGAACTGACTTTTGAGCTGGGATCTAAAAGATAAGAATTCTTGGTTGAGGAAGAGCTTTCTGGGCAAAAGGAAAGATAAGAGCAGAGGGATTAAAAAGGAAAGGGTTTGATATGTATGGAGGTAGTGGGGCTGAAGTGAATGAGTGAAAAGAAGAGTGATAGGAGATGAAGTGGGCAGGTACCAAATTATGCAGGATACAGCATCTATAGCATCTGGAATTTATTCATAGGGAGATTTTAAGTGGAGAGTTAATTGCTTAATTAATCTGACACAGATTTTTAAAAGATTCACTCTAGTTGCTTTGTCTCTGGAGATTGAATTAGAAAGGTATTGAAGTACAAAAGAGAGAAGAAAGTTGAGCAAGGCTGTTGGACTAGGGGATGGTAGTGAGGATTAAAAAACGTAAACAGGTTTGAGAATATTTTTGAGTTATAAATAATAGGAGGGACTGAGTGTGAGATGAGGGAGAGTGAGGAATCAGTTATGGCTGGGTTTTTTGGTTTGAACAGTGGGTAGTTACTGTCATTGACTGAGATGGGAAGGTCTGGGGAGAGGAATGGGAAGTAAGAACTCTTTTTGGAAGTTTTAAGTGCCATTTAGACATGCAGCGTAGATGATAAGTAGACGCTTGAATATTTAACTTTTAAGTTTAAGGGAAATATCCCAGATTATAGTTAGATATAGAAATATGTGAGTATAAACAGGAACATTTGTGGAAGTCATCAGTTACTTGCATTGATACCATACAATAATAAAGCCCAGTAATTCGTTTAAAAAAAATAAAAGTGAGGGGTGATGTGGACAGAACTAAAACACTGGACACCAATAGTATTTTAGTTGAAAGGGGCAAGATCAAAGTTGAAGTGTACTGTTTGGGAGAGGGTTCCGAATTAACTTCTGACATAAGTTAAATTTGTGTGGTAAAATTTCAAGGATAACCAGCAAAAAAAGAACATCGAGTATATGTATTGGAAACCTGTAGATGAGGAAAAAAGGAATTAAGACATGGAAAAAGAATATTAAAAGTCAATCCAAATAAAAGTAAAGAAAGGAAAAAATCATGAAAAAGGGGGAAAAAAGAGGGGTAAAAGTAAGATGGAACAAATCCTGTAACAAATATAAATTGCCTAATCTGCTTGTAAAAGTCAAAGCTTCAAATCAGTTGGATTTATCTTTTTAAAGTTGAATGCTTTTTACAAAAGATACACTTAAAGCCTAGGTATACAGACAGATTGAAAGTAAAAGAATAGACAATGATATTTCAGGCAAATACAAAACAAAAATGGAACAGTTAAATTAACATTAGCAAAGTAGACTTAAAGATAAAAAAGCATTATTGGAGAGAATGAGAGGTCAGTATGTAGTAAAGTCCAGTTTACCAGTAAAATGTAGCAGCTTTAAGCTTGAATGCACCTAATAAAATAGACTCAAAATATGTAAATCAAAATTTAACCAAACTAGAGAATATTTACAAATTTACTGTCATATTGGGAGATTTTTAAATACCTTTCTCAATTACCTATAATTCATGAATATAAGAAATTCATCATCTTTAACAGATTTGAATAACTCATTTAAGCATGGTTTAATGAACACCCCACCCTGTGGAATACCAAACACAAAAAACTGAGCATGTACTAGGCTACAAAGCACAGATTAACACATTTCAAAGAATCAGTATCCTGAAGACTCTATATTCTCTGACCGCAAGGCAGTTAACTTAGAAATAAATAACAAAAATATAAAAATTTAAAAATCCATAATTTTAAGTTGTTCATCCTTCTAAAAAACCAGTAGGACAAAAAAGAAATTAGAATTGAAGTCTAAAATGCTCTCTACTTACCGATAATGAGAATACCACAACAATTAAAATGAGGAATGCAGTGAAACTGGTAAAGGGAAATTTATCTAAGATAGAAAAGAAGTTAGAAAAGAAAACTTGAACATGGAGGGACTACACATTTAACTTAAAATAGAAAAGGAATCTTAAAGAAAATAAGGAAATAATTAGAATTAGGAAAGATAAGGGCAAAACTCAGTAAGTTAGAAAATAGTTATGATAGAAAGGATCAAAGAAATCAGAAGGTGATACTTTGAAAAGATTAAGAAAAATAGACAATCCAGTTGGATAATGAACAAGAAAATAAAGACAAGGCACAAATAAATAATACTGAAATACAGAAGTGTACACAGCCACAAATACAATAAAGATTGAATAGAGTAAGAAGAGTACTGTGAACTTTGTACCAGTAAATTTGAAAACTTGGAAGAAATTGACAAATTCCCAGGAAAAAAAAATTCACCAAAACTCATGGAAGCCTGAATAATATTATAAATATTACAGATATGTAATCAGTAGTTTAAAATCTTACTGTGGAGAAAACAACTAATCCAGATGGTTTTAGAGCTAAATTCTCTTAAACTAAACTTTCAAGGATCATGTCACTCCACTCTGTAAGAGAAGAAAAAGAGCTGTTTCTCCAAATCATTCTAAAAGGCCAGTGTAACCCTAATACCAAAAGAGTATGTGAAGGAAAATATAAACCTATGTCTTTCATTGGGCACCTGGGTGGCTCAGTTGGTTAAGTGTCTGCCTTCAGCTCAGGTCATGATCCCAGGGTCCTGGGTGGGGCTTCTTGCTCAGCAGGGAGCCTGCTTCTTCCTCTCCTGCTCTCCCTGCTTGTGCTCCCTCTCTCTCTCTGTCAAATAGATAAAATCTTCAAATAAAAAGAACTATGTCTTTCATTAAATGCATGTCAGAATCCCAAACAGAATTGGAAATCTGAATTTTTAAGTATATATTTTTTGAAGGTAAAACTCGATTACCAATCTGAGTTAATTCCAGAATTGTAAAGGTGTTTTAATGTAGAATACCTGTAAATGTCATTCACCACATTAACAGAATACAGGAGAAAATTCATATGATAGATTCTATAGATATAGGAAAAAAATCACTTAGTAATGTTCAATACCTCAACATGATAAAAACTTAGAAACTAGGATCAGAACAGAATTTCTTTGACCTGATAAAAGGTATCTACAAAAAAAAAAAATCAGTAGTAATCATTTTC